GAGGAAGGGAAGAGATAGAGAGCCAGAAACATCGATGAGAGAGAAACATCAATCAGCTGCCTCCTGCACATTCCCCACCGGGGATGCGCCCGCAACCAAGGCACATGCCCCTGACCAGAATCGAACCCGGGACCCTTCAGTCCGCAGGCCGACGCTCTATCCACCGAGCCAAACTGGTTTCGGCAAAAGGTTTGCTTATTTTGATTTTTCAATCAAGTTGCATGCTTTAATTGCTTTAATAAATTGGCTTTTCACAACAGAGTCAAGGTCTCTGGTATAAATTCATTTATATGAGAAGACAAGGATCAATGTTGGGTACAGCCCTCTCCATTGACTCTGGGCTGTCCTGTCTGGTAACACCTCTCTGCTGTTGGTGAGCGGTGCCTCTAACAGGAGGACTTAATAAATGTAAATAAGATAGATAAGTCAGAAATAGAAAGACAAGAAAGGAAATTAATCCAAGAACACGTTCTTTGAAAATACAACAAAAAATAGCAAGACTTCTGGCAAGTCTAATGGAAAATGAGAAAAAAATTAATGTATTCACTACCAAATATATAGGGAACATAGCAACACATATTTTATGGGAAATATTCTATAAAGCTCATGAGAATACTGGAAAATCTGAATGAATTCAATGATTTTCTTAGAAATTATAAGGAGTCTAAATATATTTTAAAAGAAGTATAAGCCCAGCCAGGTGTAGCTCAGCTTTTGAGCATCGACCTTGGAACCAAGAGGTCATGGGTTCCATTCCCAGTCAGGGCACATGCCCGGGTTGCGGGCTCGATCCCCAGTGGGGGGCTTGCAGCAGGCAGCCAATCAATGATTCTCTCTCATCATTGATGCTCCTATCTCCCTTCCTCTCTGAAATCAATACAAGTATATTTAAAAAAAGAAATTCTGAAATGACTAAAAGTGAGAAAAAATGGAAAATTTTCAGAGAACTGCTTGCCCCAAATATGCAAGGTCCAGATCATTTACTGGTAAAGTTTTTATTTCTTATGCTTTTAAAATATTTCTCTAATAGAAAATACTGGAACTATTTTATCCAATTTTCAAGATGGTAATGTAATGATTTTTAAAAATCATCAAGAATTAGCACATGAAAAGGAACCCATGTGCTATTCTTCTTATAAAATTAGATCTAAAAATCCAAGAGAAAACAATAGCAAAATAAGTAGCATGTTAAACAGCTTCAAAATGAGTACTTCTAAGGGTTGGATAAATGTAAAGAAATTCATTCGTTTAATGCACCAAATGATTAAAAACCCAATGATCATACTAATACATACTGAAGAGGCAGCTGAAAAAAATTCAACATCAACTACTGATAGAAAGAACTTTTAGTAAACTAGGAATAAAACATACTTTTATCTCAAGACACATCATATTGACAGTGACTCACCAGATCCTGTGGAAGATCAGCATTCTCATTAGAGTAAGGAAGGCAACAAGGCTCCATACTATTCTCACCATTATGATGTACCTGTTCTGATAGGGCCACTACAAGGAGACAAAACAACAACAGCATAAACAGTGAGGTATTACTGTTCAAAAGTAGGAGATACCTTGAAAATGATGTGTAAATGACATGAAATACAGGATTGCTTACCAGGAAAATGCAAGAGGATAATCATATCAAATTGAAAGGGAAAATTAATAACTGACAGAGAATGTCTGTACACACACACACACACACACACACACTGGTGCAAAAAAAATTGAGGACAAACAAACACTTTGACAGAAAAGGACAAAGCATTAAATAAGCAATTTACAAACAAAATACAAATGACCATTTAACATATAAAATGTTCAGCTTTACATGAAACAAAAAATTGCAAATCAAAGCAGTATTTATACACTGCTGTACCATTTTATTTGCCAAAAGAGCTTTAAGGACACGGGTAAATGAACTTACACATAGTGCAAAAAAATATGTACACAGACATAAAACCTTTGAAAAGAATTTTACATTTTTGCATATCATTTGATGCAGGACAATGAAAAATAAATACACACATAGTGCAAGAGAGATATGTACACAGACATAACAGTTCTGAAAAGAATCTTACATTTTTTGTATATAATTTGCCTCCAAAACTTAAATTTTAAGAATTTATACCAAAGGTGTTATTACAAGTGAGCAAAAAATTGTTAGCATCCAGAATATTTTATATAGCATTTTTATTATAGTAGAATGGAAAATAAATTAGAATTAAAAGCAAATGATTCATTACCATATTATAGAGGAATAGTTAATGATGTAGAAATATATCCAAAATACACTAAGTTCAAGCAAGAAGGGGACAAAGCTTCATAATAGTATAACCTCAAGTTTGTTAATGAGCCTAATAGAAACAATACAAGTTTAAGGTGTACACTAAGTTGATTTGATACATTTATATATTGCAATATGCTTATCACCATCGTGTTAGCTAACACCTTTACCACATAACATAATTATAATTTCTTGTGGTAAGAACAATTAAGATGTAGTCTCTTAGCAACCTTGAAATTTATAGGACAGTATTTTTGTCCATACTGTGCTATGCCTTAGATCTCCTAGACTTATTTATTAGTTTCAGGTTTCTACTCTGGAACACGGCTCCAATTCCTAGTTTTGTTTTTAAAAAGAAATCTATTTGTATTCACACACACACAAACACACGCACACACACAGACAGACACACACACACACACACACACACACAGGAAGACCCAAGGCTAAGAAAGATATGTTCCAAATATTTGGACATTAACAATGATCATTGATGCTGGTGGAATTACAAGTGATTTCTACTTTTGTCTTTTGTCTTCTCTGTTATTTCATATAAAGAACTTAAATTGCTTTTTTTTACCTTTAAAAAATGATGCAACAAACATTGGGAAGTCATAATTCAATAGGGAAGAGATTTTCTTCTCATTTCAAATGGATGGCTTAGACTACGATTCAGCATTTTCCTGTCTTCAATCGTAGTCACATAGATGATTAAGCAAAAGAAAAAGAGGTATTTGATACCTTTATGATATTTCAGGCTAAAGGAAAGCTGAATTGGATTTCTGTCTCTAACCTGACTTGTTTTTTGATGCCAGTTATCAGCTTGTTGCAATCTCTATCTATTGACTTTTCTTTCCCATGATGACTTTATCTTATCTAACATTTGCCAAGATAACTTGATCTAGTCTGACCTTGTTTGCAAGGGTTAGTTATGTGAGCTTTTCCTTCTAGGAAATTTTCATTTTAGTTAAATGAAAATTCACTTAATAGTGACACTTCTAGAATGCCTGGGCTAACTTTCGGCTGCCTCTCCCACTAGTGCAACTTCTCCCGACTTTGAGCCCTTGCAACCAAAGTGGAGGAAAGGCAAACAAGTTCCCTCAGGTGGAGTTAGCAAACAAATGGGTCAGATGATAACATACCACCCTAATTAGGAGGGGGAAATGGTGTGACTCTCAAAGTGTTGAAGAAGTGTCATTGTTTGCATTTTCTCATTGTTGCTTTAACAATCCAAACTTTCTATTGAACATCCGGGTCACCCAACCTCATTTTCCCACTCATGGTTTTCAAGCCACAAGGTCGAGTTTGGGGAGCAAATGCATGAAGAGGCAGCATGGGAGAGAGGACAGCCCTGACATGGACCCTCTGTGGGGCTTCTACTGGCCTCTACAGAGTGCCCCCCAGGGAAGGAGTCTTGTCCATTCTTTATCTTACTCAGAGCATCTCTGAGGTTTTGCTGTAGTTTCAGCTTTTACACCGTGATGACCTGAGATGCAGTGTGGTTCAGTGTGGTGGAGAGAGGGTTCAAGTGACACCTATGCACTCCTCCCATTGCCACCAATGCCTTGAACACGAGCCTTGATTTCCTCACTGTAAGGTAATTAGAACAACTGCACCAGTGAGGTGCTCTTTGGTGGATTAAAGAAAGAACCCAGCAGACCTAGTTTGTGGTGGGCAGCTCTTAATGACTGCTCTATGGCATCACTGACCAATGTGCTCACCAGCCACATGTGGCTACTTAATTTAATCAAGAATTCCTTTCACAGCAGCACCAGTCCCATTTCAAGTGCTCAACAGTCGCCCATGTCTACTGGCTACCACTTTGTGTGGTGCAGCTAAGAGCATTTCCATCATCACAGGGTGTTCCATTGGACAGCACTGCTCTATGTCATCAGCTGTGATTTTGCACAGCTGCCACACCTTCGGGCTGACCAAAATCATTCCCTTTGATTTGGAAGCTGGGCCAGGATGTTTACCTGCAGAAGTGTGAGGCAGGTAAGGCCCTTTTTGCAAGGCCTTTGTCTCCAGAGATAGAAAGGAGTGATATTAGCTTTCCAAATTAAGATAGCTTATCTGTCAGCCAGATAGATACTTTAGTCCTGAAAAGATGGGAAGTTCATACCTGGAAAAAACCTCCAGAGAGGACTCAATTCTTTCCATCCTGCACTTAACCAGACAACAAAGGGAGTCCTGTGTCGGGGGGTCGGGGGGGAATTCTGACTTTGAGTCAGCAGAGGAAACATTCTTTCAAGCTAGAGTTTGCAAGGCACAACTAACCTGTTTTCCAAACAGGTTTTTGTAAATAACTGACAGGAGATGGGGTTGTTTTATCAAAGTATTAACCTAAGTGATGGGGATTAATCATTAAACCTTCTAGCTGGTGGTTTGCTTGTTTCTCTGCTATTCTAATCCAGGTCACAGAATGGCTAAAGCAGCTTTAAGTGGAGGGTGGATTATTTTTCCCTTGGTTTGTCTTGTGTTTTCCTCTCCGAAAGAATGTTGTGGCTGCTCTTTTTTCTGGTAACTGCTATTCATGCTGAACTCTGTCAACCAGGTATGTAGCCCTGAAACTTAAAAATAGATGAATAATTTTTAATGTTTGGTAAGTCTTTGATTGAAAGACCTCTTTATTTTTCAAAATCTATAGACATGTTGTGGCTTGAAAGTTGAGCTGTTTTATGAGTTTGAAAGACAATTTTAAACTACCTAAGGTGATTACAGTTAAACTTCAGGAATTTGGGGAGCAGTTTGTTTGCAGTTCTGTGTTCTGTTGATTTCATTTGCATTAGATATTAGGATTTGTTAGGCTCAGTTTGGGCAGATTTTATCATACACTGCTCTTTTTTCTTTCTGGCAGATGCAGAAAATGCTTTTAAAGTGAGACTTAGTATCAGAACAGCTCTGGGAGATAAAGCAGTAAGTGGAGAACCTGCGTGTTCATTTTAAATTTTGTTTGCTAATAACATTGTGCTTTCTCTAATAATGAGCCTTTTTACCTGGTTATTTTAAAGTTGCATAGATTGCTTCTAAAGACCTCAAATCCAGTTCTTCTTAAAAATGAAAATATTATAGTAGAATAGAAGTTGTTAATAAAATGATTTTGCCTAAAATACTTTATCTACAGTTTATGCTAGAAAATATGTGAAGGTTTGTATTATACAAAACAATTTGGCACTGTTGAACATTTCAACCCAGCATAGTGCAGCAAAGGGGCCTGAATCTGGCAGTTAGGTCTTGGTTGGGTTCTGTGCTTCACTATTGTGGTCATTTGAATTTTGTTAGCCTCAGTTTTGTAGACATTGAAAAGAGGTCATATTTCATCCGCTTAAGAGTTTTCATAGCACAAATTTTCACATTCTAAGATGAAGTTTCTTAATTCTTCCTAAGTATCAAAATAATAACATGAAATGTATAGTTATAAAATTGAAATTTAATACTCATGGTGCTCATGTAGTTATTGGAACAGTAAAGAGTATCGAATTAATAAGATGGTATTTTGTAACTTTAGTTTCAGTTTTCCAGTATGGTCTTTGAAAATTTCCTCCAATAGAAGGTGATATTAAGATGCTTAGACTATAAACAGTAGAGAACCGCTAAAGAAACTTAGAGGTATTCTGTTTAGAGGCTATGTTTTATTTTATTCACTCAATGAGTAATCATTATTGAGAACCTAGTTTACTTTCTAGTTGGGCCCCTTCTAGAGCAATTTGCTCACATCAGCTCATTTAGCTGTCACAATAACACTTTGAGGGATGTAGTACAGGTATTCCTATTCTCACCAAATGGATGAGCGGTGCAAAGAAAGTGACCTGCTCAAGATCTCAAGTCAGCAGGTGGTAAAGGTAAGATGGAACCCAGACAAGTCTGGCTGCAGGATTCATTCTCTCTCCTAGTGCTATATACTGTTTATCCCAGGATCCTGGGTTCTAGGGATGCAGAGCAGCTAAAACCAGGCTTGTCCCTATCCTTATGGAATTATAGTAGTCAGAGAATTGGTTGGCCATTGAATAGTCAGTGAACCAAATGCAAATGTGCATTCTGGACTAATATTACAGGAAGGAGAAGTACAAGTGGGTTTTGGCCTCAGTACCTGGCATTTGCTGTGAGGTCTGAAGCATGAGTAGAAGTGAACTAAGGGATAACAGAAAAAAGGGCAGAGGAAACAGCATGTGCAAAGGATTCTCTACGAAGGAACTTGGTGACAGTGAGGGGTAGAAG